TACTTGCTCTTGCTCTTTCTCTCTCAAATAAACAAATAAATCTTTAAAAAAAAAATTAAATCTTAAAAAAAAAAAAAACTAGTGAGAGCAGACATCCTTGACTTGTTTCTAATCTTAGAAGAAAGCATCAGTCTTTCACCATTACATATGAATTTAGCTGTGGGTTTTTTGTAGATACCTTTTATCAGGATGAAGAAGTTTCTTTCAATTCCTAGTTTGTTGAGTACTATAATGAAAGACTGCTGGACTTTGTTACATGCTTTTTTTTTCACCTATCAAGATGATCAGGGGATTTTGGTTTCTATTCTATTGATATTGTATATAACACTGATTTTCAGATGTTAAACCAACCTTGCACTCCTGGATTAATCTCACTTGATCATGGTATATAGTAATGTTTATGTGGCTAAGATTTGGTTTGCTAGCATTTTGTTGAGGACCGTTGTCCATACTCATGAGATACTATTAATCTGTAAATTTATTGTGATGTTATCTAGTTTTGAAATGGGAGAATACTGGCCTCAAAGAATGGGTTGAAAAGCATTCCCCCTCTTCTATTTATTGGAAGAGTTTCTAAAGAATTGGTTAATTCTTAAACTGGTAAAATTCTCCAGTGAGGCCACTTCAATCTAGGATTTTCTTTGTCAGTAGTTTGTTTTTTTCTTTTCCTTCTCCTTCTTAAGATTTTAAAGTAATCTCTACCCCAACAACCAAAGATCAGGAGTCACACACTCCACCCATTCAGCCAGCTAGGCATCCCTGTCAGTTTATTAGTAATTTAATCCCTATTCTTGGATACAGTTTATTCAGATTATTTATTTCTTCTTGACTCGGTTTCAGTAGTGTGTATTTCTAAGTATATGCCCATTTCATCAAAGTTGTCTAATTCATTGGCATACAACTGTTCACAGTGTTCTTTTAAAATCCTTTATTTTGTAAGATCAGCAGAAATGTCTTTTCATTTCTGATTCTAATAAATTCTTTTTCCCTTGGTCAATCTAGCTAAAGGTTTGTTAATTTTGTTAATCTTTTCAAAGAACTAGTTTTTGGCTTCATTGATTTTTCTCTATTCTTCTATTTTCTATTTCATTTTCATTTCTGCCCTAATCTTTGTTATTTCCTTCCTCCTCTTTATTTTAGGTTTAATTTGCTTTTCTTTTTCTAGTACCTTTAGACAGATGGTTAAAGTATTCATCTGAGATGTTTCTTTTTTTTTTTTTTTAAAGATTTTATTTATTCATGAGAAACACACAGAGAGGCAGAGACACAGGCCAAGGGAAGCAGGCTCCATGCAAGGACCCCAATGCAGGACTCGATCCCAGATTTTGGGATCATGCCCTGGGCCAAAGGCAGACGCCCAATTGCTGAGCCACCCAGGTGTCCCTTAGATGTTCCTTTTTAAAAAATATAGGTATTTATAGCTATAAAATTTCCTCTAAATACAACTTTAGCGGCATCTCACATTTTGTTATATCGTATCTTCATCTTTGTTCATCTCCGTGTATAAATTCCCCCTTTTGATTTCTTCTTTGACCCATTCATTATTTAGGAGTGTATTGTTTAATTTCCACGTATTTATGAGTTTCTCAAATTCTTTTGTTATTAATTTCTAATTTCATTCCAGTGCATAGAACTTACTTTGTATTATTCTTAGCCTGTTAAATTTATGTTGTTTTTTTTTTTAATAGCATAGCATAACGTCTATCCTGGAAGAGAATATTCCATCTGCACTTAAGAATATATTTTCTAGGGGGTGCCTGGGTGGCTCAGCTGGTTAAGCATCTGCCTTCAGCTCAAGTCATGATCGTGAGGTCCTGGAATCAAGCCCCATGTCAAACTCCCTGCTCAGCAAAGAGTGCTTCTCCTTCTCCCTCTGACCCACTTGTACTCTGTCTCTCTAATAAATAAATAAATAAATTTTTTTGTAAAAAGACTACATTTCCTGATGTTGAACAGAGTGTTCTGTAGTTGTTAGATCTAGTTGGTTTATGGCATTGTTCAAATCTTGTTTCCTATTTATCTTCTGCCTAGTTCTATCCATTATTGAAAGTTGGGTATTAAGTCTTCAACCATTATTGTCTATTTCTCCTTCATTTCTGGCAGATTTTGCTTCATGTATTTGGGAGCTTTGTTAAATGCATCTATGTTTAAAATTGTTATACTTTAAGGGATTGGCTTTTTATCATTATAAAATGTCTTATCTCTAGTAGCAATTTTTGTCTTAAAACCCATTTTGTCCAACATCAAAAACCCACTCCACCTCTCTTTTGGTTGCTATTTGCATTATATGGGTTTTAAATTCCTTTTGCTTTCAATCGACTTCTACCTTTTTAGTTTCTTAATCCACTTTTATAATCTCCAACTTTTGACTAGAATGTTTCATTCACATTTTTAAATCCAATCTTATTAATTGACATAGCAGATTTACATATGCCATTTTACTTATTTCTATATGTCTCATGCCCTTTTTTGCTCTACTTCTTTACTGCTATCATTGCATTATGTGAATGTTTTATGCTGCAGCATTTTAATTTCTTTAATGAACTTCATTCACTACTTTGAGTGATTTGCTTAGTGTCTACTCTAGGACTTACCATAAACATCTAATCAGAAATAGCTTCATATTTATATATACTAACTTAATTCCAATGAGCTATAGAAACATTATTCCTATGTAGCTCTATTCCCTTTCTTCTCTTTTTGTGGTATTGTTGTATACATATTACATTTATAAACATTACAAACCCCAAAATACACTGTTATAATTATTACTTTACTTAATTTTACATCTCTTAAAGAAGCTAAGAGAAGCACAGTAATTATATTTTTCTAAGTTTTATTAATATGAATTCTTATCACTCTGGCTTTCTTCATTCATTCCTGTGGATTCAAATTACCACCTGGAATCATTTCCATTAGCACAATGCAATTTTGCTTCCACCCACCTCCTCTGTGCTGTTATGGAAAATATACACTACAATTCATGTATAGGTTCAATAATACATCAGTTTTATACAATTGCTTTTTACATCAGTCAACAAAAGAGAGAAGAAAAATGACTGTTGTACAATTATCTTTACTCTTGCTCTTTGATTTTTTTGGTGTAGATTCAAATTACTGTTTGGATCACTTTTCAGCCTGAAAAACTTCCTCTAGTATTTCTTGTAAGGTGAGTCTACCAGCAACAATTCTCGCAGCTTCTGCTTATCTGCAAATGTCCTTATTTCACCTTATTTTTAAAAGACAGCTTTGGTGGACATAGTCAATTGCTGTTGACCAACAGTTTTGTTTTGTTTTTTTTCCTTTGATCATTTTGAACATATTGTCCCACTGCCTTCTGATCTCTGCTGTTTCTGTTGATAAGTCAGCTGTTAATCTTGTAAGTAACAAGTTTTTTTTCTCTTGCTGGCTTTAAGATTTTCTCATTGTCTGGTCTTTCAGCATGTTTAATATGACTCTTCTATTTGTGGATTGCTTACATGGTTATTTGAAACTCACTGAGCTTCCTGGAGGAGTAATGTTTTTGAGTAAATTTGGAAACTTTTCAGCCATTATTTCTTCAAATACTTGTTCTGCTTTCTCTTTTCTCCTTGTGGTTCTCCCACCATGCATATGTTGGCGCGCCACATTTTCCTGAGGTTCTGTTCATTTTTCTTCATTCTTATTAACTCTATTCTTTGGATTACATAATCTCTATTGATCTATCTTTGTCAGTTCAAATCTACGTTTGAGCCCCACTAGTAAATTTTTTATTTCAGGTGTATTGTTCACTTCCTGAAGTTCCATTTAGTTCTTTTTCTTTATAATTTCTATGTCTTTATTGATATAGTCTATTTGATACAATATCGTGGTCATACCTTAATCATGGTTTCCTTTAGTTCTCTGAACACTTATAATGGTTTAAACTATTTGTTAAATCTGACATCTGATCATTCTCAAAGGCAGTTTCTATTGCCTGCTTTGTTTCCCCCTACTATATAGATTATACTTTACTCTTCCTCTGCATGTCTTGTAATTTTTTCTTGGAAATTGGATATTTTAGAAAACATATAACAACTCTGAGTACTGATGTACCTCCTCTCTCTTGGGGCTTGTTACTGGTATTGACCTTGTTTTTGTGTTTGTTTCCTAACAGACTGGATTATTTTACTATAATTTGTATCCTTCTTTCTTCCATAATTTCTATTAATCAAACCAAGAAATGTTGTGTTCAGTCCTAAATGCCCCATTTAAAGAATACTAACAAACTAAAGCACATACAGAAGCAGCTTCCAGAATGGGGAGGGTTTCAAAACATCATAGAACAAAAAGCTAAGGAAACTGATTATATCTGAAGTCGATCAGAGTAATAGGATAGAAAAGACACTGAGTTGCTAATTTCAAAGTTCTGAAGTGCTACCCTGGTTTGGCTGAAGAGCAGGGAAAAGTCACAGAACTTAGACAAAAAAGTTGTACTACAGGGAATTTTTTTAAACAAGGACTTCAAAAATGGCATATGCTATTTTTTATAATAATAAGGTTTCCATTTTTAAGCCGTGGTTTTCAATCTGTCACAGCTGTTGAGTGTGGCGTTTCTAGTTTGGGAGGGAAGGGTTGGGTAGATGATCCCATTTTCTGTGATAATCAAGAAACCTGGCCTTGATTATAGCTATTTTGACATAATGCAAAGCACTTTACATGTACATAAACATATATTACTAATACTATTATTCATCTCTTGAAAAAAATTATAAAGAAATATTTAAGAAACACAAAAAATTCTTAAATGTTTCCCTAGCAAAGAGTTCCTCTAAGATTACTATTTAAAAGTATTTTTCTGATTAGTCACATATCTGGTAGATTACCACATAAAACACTGGGACAAAGAATTACTTTAATTTCTACATTATCTTATGTACTTGCTTTAAAATATTAGGATAAAGAAATTAATTTACAAGAATTACTCAGTTCTTACAAAAGTTTTTTTTTTTTTAATGAAATAATTGAGATCCATAACTCACCAGAAGAAATCTTACCAGCACCTTTATAGTCAACAGAAAATGCAGAGGTGACTCCATTGGCGGACCCCAGTTCACACATGGAAATTTGATAAGGGGGCCTCAGCTTGATTTCCATCTGCATGTCAGACAGATTTATCTTTGTTGAAAGAGATCTGGGATTATTATATCGCTGCTTTGTCCTCTGAATGAAGTTATCTATGTAAAATAAAAAAATAAATTTCCTTGCAGTCATTTGTTAATTAATTTGAGAGTGTGACATTTATGGAATAAGTTCTGCAGACTGACAGTTTGTTATTCAAACTATTTAATTTGCCATAGAATATTCTAATATTGGGATCTCTGGGTGGCGCAGCGGTTTGGCGCCTGCCTTTGGCCCAGGGCGCGATCCTGGAGACCCGGGATCGAATCCCACGTCGGGCTTCCGGTGCATGGAGCCTGCTTCTCCCTCTGCCTGTGTCTCTGCCTCTCTCTCTCTCTCTGTGACTATCATAAATAAATAAAAAAAAAAAATTAAAAAAAAAAAAAAAAAGAATATTCTAATATTATTTGTGTTTAATATACATGGAGTCATCAGTGTTTTACTCTAGAAATTATACTCTAGAAATAATTACAAATACAATAAAGATTTAACACTACATAACTGTAGGACTATTTCTATTATTCTTTTTTTTTATTTCTATTATTCACTTCAAATAATTACATTTTTACCAAAAAAAAAAAAAAAGGGAAAAACAGCTTTAATTTTATTTTATTTTTATTTTTTTTATTTATGATAGTCATACAGAGAGAGAGAGGGGCAGAGACATAGGCAGAGGGAGAAGAAGGCTCCATGCATCGGGAGCCTGATGTGGGATTCGATCCCGGGTCTCCAGGATCGCGCCCTGGGCCAAAGACAGGCGCCCAACCGCTGCGCCACCCAGGGATCCCCAACAGCTTTAATTTTAAACCAAAGTCTTAATTTTTATAGGGAACCATATCTCATAAAATATTAAGTCTGTCAGTATTTACCAATTACATAAGAATATATACTTTAAATTACATGTTCTTATAAACCTGTTTTATTTACTGCTTACACCATTAGAATGTATGTTTTAAAGAACAAATTTAATGAAATCAATAAGACATTTCTAAATATCTTCCAATTTTACTTTCATTATTTATAACTTGGTTTTACTTTTTTCTCCTACAGCAGGAGTCAAGCAAACTACTGCCCAAGGCCAAATTGAGCCTGCTGATTGTTTATGTAAATACGGTTTTATTAGAATATAACTATACTCATTCATTTATGTATTGCCTATGGCTGCTTTCAAGCCACAATGGCAGGGCTGAGTAGTTGTGACAGAGACCATATGGTCCTTAAAGCTTAAAATATGTACTATCTGGTACTTTCCAGCAAATGTTTGCCAACCTCCATCCTACATTAAGCAGACTATAAAAGATTATCACATAAACACACAGAACTCTGAATCTCTTTTAAATTTCTCATTGAGAAACAGTCCTCTGGGATTAATTCTTTGTGCCAATAATCACAATCCCCTCCACAGCTCAAACACAATTTTTTCTAATAGGCACCTAAATGAAGAAGTTGCCATAATTTATAGACCATTTGTCAAATTGTTCTATCAAATGCAAGGTAGCAAAATCTTCTGAGTTTTTCCCCTGGCCCCCAGTATTATACAAAAAAATCTCTTATGACTGGATGGAGACAGGATAATGAAAAGGAAAAAAAATCAGGCCCTTACCAAATTCAATGAAACAGTATGGTCTGACAGCAGTATTTGTCTTCATCATGTTATAAGTAGTAATGAACTCCTTCTGAAGCTCATCCAGGAAAGAGAAGGCCAGAACATTTGGGTAATTTTCAGTGCACAACATCATGTAGCTCACTCCCAGAGAGCTAATAAAACTACAGTGTAAAAAACATTGGTTTTAAAATTTCAAATTAAATCAAGGTAATTCGTTGCTTCCAAAGACTGGTTCTATATACCATCAACAGCTGCTACAGTGGCAATGAAGATACTAACATTTTATCATATATTCTAGCAAAAAAGAAATTAAAGAAACCAAAGTATACTACTTTCAGTTGCAGTTAAAAACAGTAGACAAAAAAATGGAATAGTACCTACAGATGGACATACAGTACAATTCTAACACTTAAGTGATTTATCACTTGGGGTAGAAAGCAGGGGAAAATATACAAATATGTAAGGGTTACAGATAGCTTAACATTTAACTATTCAACCTAGTGGAACTTAATCCTGTTTGAATCCAGAACTCTTTAGAGATTCTGATTAAAGTTACAGACACTCTCCTCAGAAAACTGTCCAAACAACACAAAATCTGGCTCACAATTTCAGGTTGGTCATTGACCTCTTAAAGTCATCCACTGACTCCAGAATCAAGTCCCCTACTTTATATAATAATGAATTATGAACCACTGGGGAAGTAAGAGTAATTTAGGAGTTTTTAACAAGAACAAATAAAATAAATGGGATAGAAAGGAGAACTCTTGCTTACAGCAGAATGCTGAGTACAAATTGGTAAATGTATACATAACGCTAGAACTGGAAAAATCAGCATTTTGCAACCAGTATAGTAAAGACTGGGTCAAGCAAGGACAATCAATGAAAGGTGAGTCTAGGTGGAACTTTTGGTGAGGAGCAGGAAATTCTGTGTGGTTTTAAAATATCTTCCCATGGACTGCTTATTTGTTGCAAGGAGAAAATATTTATTATACAGCAGAAACTAGACAACATCTTGACTGAGTACTCTTAACGTTACTAATAAGGGATAGATGGATTTTCTGTGCCTTCAGTTGTGATAGCCTCAGAAATATATATCAGCTATAAAGTATTCTAGCCAAGAATGCATAATCTGAATCTAATCATGAAAGAATATCGAAATGATCAACATTGAATTTTAAAAGGCAGGGGAGCTATAGTCTTTAAAAATCTCAACGCTGTAGAAAGGAAATAAAGGCTGTGTAAATGTTTCTGATCAAAGGAAGCTAAAGAGACACTACTAAATGCAATACGTAACAGTAGTCTGGATCCTGTGCCACAAAGGGGGAAAAATGCCGTAGAGGACATCCCTGGTCAACTGACAAAAATGGAAAACAGGAAGTAGATTAAAATATGATGTCAATATTACTAGAGCTGATAACCATGCCAGTTAAGAGAGTATCCTTAATCTTAGAAAATACACTTCGAAGTAATTAGGAATTAAGGGCGTGGTATTTTAAGTTTCTCTCAAATGATTTAGACAAAAATAAGAGGCAGATAATGATATTTAACTAAATGGGGTAAAATGTTAACAAAATGTGAAATTGGGGATAGGTATTATGTTTGTCATTCTTATTTATACAACTTTTCTCTAAGTTTGAAATTATTTCTAAATAAGAAATTAAAAATTATTAAAACTTCAAGCACTGAAATGTTCAAATTGGTCATGTTCTACTAATAATCCCCTCAATAAGCAGAGAATGTTACACAAATTAACCCTAGTAAATCATCTAAACATTGTTTTATAGAACTGTCCATGTAGCTCCTCTAGATCAGTCACAGCAAACATATCATATAGGTTATTATCTCCCGCTCCTTTGAAAGACACTGCTAATCTCTAACAGCAATCTTTACTGAACAAACCCTGATCCATACTGGAGACCCCCTCCCCTCTTTTTTTCTCTAATAATATAGAAGCAGAATTTGTATTTTAAATTTAATGTATAGAATATATTCACATGGTTCAAAATTTTAAAAGAATGAAAAAAGAAATTCAGTACTTAAAGAGCGTCTTACCACTACCTCCACCCAAAGATACCCAGTTCTCTGTTCCTCAAGCAACTCATGTTATTTTTTTTTTTAGGATTTTTTTAAGCAATCTCCACACCCAATGTGGAACTTGAACCTACAACCCCCAGATCAAGAGCACATACTCTACTGATCAAGCCTGCCAGGCACCCCAACTCATGTTATTATTAAATTCTTATGTATCCTTCAGTGAGAGTTCATGCATTTATCTATCTTTCTCTCTCTCTCAAAAGACCAAATGATGTGGGATTGGTACCTATTATTCATTATTATTAATGGTGTGGAAACACCGTAAGTTCTGAAACTTAGAGCTTCTGAAATAACCTAGAATTCCTTTCTGAAGTTCACTTAACACAGTCATTAGATGAAATGTTTTTCAAACTACAACTTGTGACCCATTAGAAGGTCATAAAATTAGTGTAGTAAACCACATAAAGCATTTTCCTAAAAATTGAAATAGAACATAACAGAAAATATTGGAATGTATAAAACTTTTTAGTTTCTTATTTTATAGGTAATGTTCACAAACTGAAATATCTTCTTATGAGTCATAGTCAAAAAAGTTTAGCCATGCATATTGCATTTTTCTATGAAATGAATAACTAAACCAAAGGGCAAAGTATGGTTTTCTTAAGCCATTTTCTCTTTCCAAAAAATCTTTACCATCATTATAAAAATTCTTTGACATGTCATTAGCATCCAAATATACCCTACCTCTGCCCTGCACCCCCCCCCCCCCCGCCCCAGGAACTTGAGCTGGGATAAAACACAATTGGTGATTCTTTCCACACACTCCCAACACTCAAGGAGCTACCCTAGGAGTTGTTTCATTATCCTCCACAAATATGACTGAAGCTTTTGGACTTCATTTTTTTGTGTTACAGTAGAATTTTACTGTATTTCCATATTAATGATAAAGTGAACCACGGGGGGGGGGGGGAGTTAACCACAGACACAAACACGACAATTTATCCCAGTTTCTCTTGCTTGCACTTAGTTAACTAGAGAATTATTTGTGAAATAAAAGGAAGCTTGTGTTTTTAAGATTAAATGTCAGCATTTTCAGTCTTTTTTCCAAAGCCTTTACTATAATTATGTGATACTCTCTGAAAAGGCCAAAAAGAGCTCTATAATATTATGGTTTTTCATAGTGAACTTAGTCATATGCTATTGTCTTTCTTTGAAATGCAAAGGCAGTTTTTCAACAATACATACAAGCCTTCTTTATCAAAAGATTTCTGGCTTTTGCAATTATCATGGGGGACAAACTCAAAGATTCCCATCCTCTCACTGAGAATTCCTCATATGAAACTGCCTAAAGTCACTACAGGTATGCCAGTTTGTGCATGCATTCGCTTGTCCATTAGGAGGAGGAGGAGTAACAGTAACAGCGGCAGGTACAGTTTACTGACCCTTTAGTTTGAACCAGGCCCCCTGCTAATAAGGGCTTTAGCTACGTATTCTATTTAATTTTACTCTCACAGTAAAGAGGCACGACTATCTCCATTTTACAGATGATGGAACAGAGGCTCAGGGATTTTTAGTAGCTTACCAGGGCCACATCAACATTTTAGAAGCAGAGCGGGGTCAAACTTAGTTCTAACTCCAAAGCATCCCTTCTTTTCCAACACAACACCAACTTCCCTATGTTATACATAAACCAACTATGTGTTTAATTCACCAACTTTTTTTTTTCCACTTTTTCAAGCCATAAATCAATCTCTATTTTTTTTCCTCTAATTAAGAGTAAATGAAACTTGAGGATTTAGGAACTTGTATCAGGATATTCAGGAAGCCCTGCCAACTTCTCTACTTCTTGTGCCACTCTACCCCTCCTTCTCTGCGATCTAGCCACATAAAGTATTATTTCAGATCCAAAGGATACCAACCTACTCCCAGTCCTCCCAACGTCTGAGAAACTTTACAAATTGTCTTCCTCACCTGCAATGCTCCCAACCCAACCCTATCTCTACCATGCTCCAATTCTGACCTGGTTAATCCTATTCATCCTTCTTGGACTTAAAAGTTCCTCCCAGAGCATACAATCTAAATTGACCCCGGCACAGGGCACCTGGGTGGCTCAGTTCTCTGAGCATCAGATTCATGATTTTGGGTCAAGTCATGATCTCATGGATTGTGGAATTGAGCCCCACATCAAGCTCCATGCTCAGTGGGGCGTCTGCTTGAGATTCCCTCTAACCCTCTCTCTTTGCTCCTCCCCCCACTCAGGCTTGCACGCGCGTGCTCTCTCTCTCTCTCAAATAAATAATCGTTAAAAAAAATAAATTGATCCCACCCCTTGGGTCATACCATAGTAGCTGTTATTTTTCTTCATGTAACTAATCCAGTTTGTAGTTATATATTTATGTTTATTTGTTGTAATGTTTTTCACTAATATCTATGCTCTATAAGAGCAGAGATCATTTCTATAGAGCTCACAGCTATATTCTTAGCAACTAGAATATTTGGGGTCTAGTACACAAAATGTGTTCAATAAATTTAGTGAATGAGTACAAAGATGACATCATTCATTTACTCATTTATACACTAATTTGTTGAGTATATTGTGCACATATAATTGTACAGCCCAGCAGTTATCTATTCAAAGTATCTACATAAAGAAGTTCAATAAATAGTTGACTAAATTTTACAGACCGGAATACAACTTCACCTCCTCTTCCAGAAGGCTTTAGGGTTCAGGTCAGTGAGTTTTCAACATCCTCCTACTTTAGAGACAAAGATGTTCTCAGATACCATGTAGAATTACTATGTTAGATATGTCTACTATCCTTTTATCACAGACATTACTAACCTCACACATCTTTTCCTCACCTTGAGCACAATTTTTAAACTGCCATTGTTTTCTTCCTACTTTGCTCCAATTTTTTTACTTCCCTTTTTCTTCTTGGCCTTGGTACCAATAGGATTTGGTCTTTATAGCTACTGTCTTCAGGCCAAGGAATTTATCCAACTTCATTACTTCTTTGGTTCCTCCCCCAGCATACACACTAGCATCTTCTTCAGGGCCTTCCATGACTAAGTATGTCTTGAACAGGTAAGACTGACAGAAATTCAAACTCCAGATAGAGGGTATTTA